TGCACCCTCGTCGTACACACTGAGATCGCGGAGCCGAACGTGTAGATGTAGACAGACACAGAGCGAAGTTGACGCGCCAGTTGAGCAAAAAACAAGGTGCCGAGACGGGTAGGGAAAACGGACCGTATCGCACTCACCCACGAGCGCCAGGGACGCAATTGGCAGGGGCGCTAGATACTGCGTGCTAGTAAATCGCCAGTGCCCTTGGTAGTAGTAGGTAGAATCCTGAGCGCGCTCTTGGGCTGCTGCTCGTGTATGCTGGTATAGCGACCGAGTGGCCGCAGTGCGGTTGCGTGCGCGATGCTCGCGCTGGAGGCGTAGATGCGAAGGGTGTCGGCGTCTTGGCTAAATAAAGGTCACCACGGTGCGTCGCACGCCCGACGGCCATCGTCGCGTGCGCCAGCTGATCGTCGCTCGTCGGGGCCGGGCAAGCGTGCGAACGGTGTCGGACTCGTCAATGATGACGCCAGCCACTGAGCGCCTTCCTTGAGGCGCACCGAGCTGGAAATCACCATTGATAGACTAAGCTTGGGGCCTTGGTTGCCGCGCAGATGCGGCATATGTCGCCGTAAGAATGCAAGGTACTTGCAGAAGCTTAGCTTTTGACTGATACTACAAATTCGTGGATGGCTCGAGCCCGCTTGCTCTGCGCCTGGATCTTGTAAAAGTGCGTGCTTCCATATCTTGGTCTTCTTGAACGCTCAGCCTTGCGCGCAAAACCTCTTCCACTTCTTGGAACGGCACTATCGGGTTGAACTCGGGATGGAACTTTGGGAGGGGGCCATCAAGTGGCTTCAAAGACATCATCGAGCATCGAATTCGGAGCCGCAAAGTCGGGCTGGTGGTCGAGCTAGTTGACCGCACAGCGAAAGTACGGTTCTTCCATCGTGCAGGGCGTCTTCCTGTACTGCCCCCGATCGGCTCGGCGAGGCCGAGCAGCTCGCGCTCGCGTAGGATCGAGAGACGGCCCTTGGGTGTTCCTGCACAGCATCACCTCGCGCATCGAGTGGGCTCCATAGATCGAGCTCGTCATCGCTGTCAACATCGATGATCCCGACATTGTATGTGAGCGATTCTTCCAAATGGAATTCAGTAGGTGTCAAAGTGGTGGATCAAAGCACGTGTATATGTACAAGTTGGCAAGGCTTGTGGGCGCAGCCGTCGCCTTCTTCGTCGGTGTTGTCGCTCTCCTCGGCGTCCTGTTTA